GGCTGGGGAAAGTCTACAGCCTACACAAGGAGCCTGTGAGATCCCTGTCAGTCCTTACTTAGGCTCAGACTAGAGCAGAAGAAGGGAAAAGGATCCTTTGGGAATGTGTAAACATAGGCCCATTACTACAAGGGCCTATGGTTCTATTTTATACTACCTCTGTGATTAAGGAATTTCCAGCCTAGAAAAATCAAAATGGTTGTGAGTAGGTCTTTTTAGCACCTAGTAGAAGCAAATTTACATCTTCCATGGGAAAAAAAAAATGCTGTCATTGCAGTCTCCCCAGGGGTCCAACAGCTTAAGTTCAGACAAATATGAGATCACAATAAGACAGTCAATAAACTTGCATCATGTGTAAGAGTTCATAGAAAGAAACCACAGAAATAGACCTATAGAAAGCTTCAGATATTAGGAGGAAATAAAAAGAATATTGAAAAAAACAAGCAAGTCCTTTCAACTATCAATAAAGATCAGTTGAATTTGAAAAAGGGCCAGATACATATGGAAATGAAAAATATAGTTGTCAAAAAAAATTACAGTTCAGCAGATGGGTTAAAGAGCTAATTAAAATTGGAAAGAAAATTAGTGAAATGGAAATTATACTGGAAGCAATCACTTAGGTTGCAGCACATAGGTATAAAGTGATGGAAAATGTAAAAGAGGTTAAGAGACAGAGAGGAATAAGTTAGAATGACATCTAACTCTTCAACTCACAATTCCTGGAAGAGAGAATAAACAGAATATTAGAGGTAATAGTCTGATATGCAGTAGTTGAGGCTTTTCTAGAACTGGTTCTGATGGTTAATTTTAGGTATCAACTTGACTGGATTAGGGATACCTAGAGAGCTGGTAAAGCCTCAAAAAATTTCTGGGTGTGTTCGTGAGAGTGTTTCTGGAGAAGACTGGCATGTGAGTTGGTGGACTGAGTGGGGAAGATCCACCCTCACTTAATGTGGGCAGGCACTATCCAATCTGCTAGGGGCTTAGATAGAACAAAAAGGCAGAGGAAGAGTCAATTTAATTTTTCTCCTGGAGCTGGAACACCTCTTTCCTGTCCTTGGATGTCAGAACTCCAGGCTCTCCAGCCTTTGGACTTTATGACTTGCACCAGCACCTCTCCAGCCCCCACCTCCACCCCTATCCCCTCCCCCTGTGATCTCTGGCCTTTGGTTTTGGAATGAAAGTTACACCATCAGCTTCCCTGGTTCTCATGCTTTGGGACTTGGATTGAGCTGTGCCACCAGGATCTTAGGGTCTTCAGCTTGCAGAAGGCCTGATGTGTTACTTCTTAGCCTCCATAATCACCTGAGACAATTCCCCTCATAAATCCCTTCTCATGTATCTATATCTATCCTATCGGTTTTGTCTTTCTGGAGAGCTCTGACTAATACACTGGTCAAAGCATGAATCAATAGATTCAGGAAATTCACTGAATCCCAAACAGGTTAAATACAAAGTCTGCATCTAGACAAATGGCAGTGAACTGCAGAATACCAAAGACAAAGAGAAGATCTTGAAAACAACCTGATAGAAAAGACAAATCACCTGTTAGAAATGATGATTAGGCTAAGAGCAGACTTCTCATCAGCAACAATGGAAACCAGAAGATAGCTGATGTCTCTAAATTCAATTGAATAAAATTATATTTCAGTAACGAGAATGAAATAAAGATATTTCAGACAAACAAAAACAGAATGTATTTACTACCAACAAATCATCACGAAAATAACTTCTAGTTCATATACCTCAAGAAAAGAGAGGATCAACAAAACCAAATTTGGTTCTGAAAAGACTAATTACATTGACAAATCTCTGGTAGAATGATCAAGGGGGAAAAAAGCAAAAAGCAAAATTAACAGCCTTAGGAATAAAATACAGAATGATTGGACAGAAAGAGCAGAAATTCGAAAGAACATAGAGCACAATTAACAAGAAACTTGAAAACTTAAGCAAAATGGATAAATTTTAGAAAAATATGGGCCGGCCCGGTGGCGCACTGGATAAGT